GAGCACGATTTAATTCTGGAATCATTTCGCTACATTTCAACTGGTTCTTACTGGTTCTTACGTGAGAATCTAACATGGTTCAGTTCATTCTTCTGCTTACGTGGTCACCGGGGCAACGCCAGACTGATTTAGACCTCCTTCTGCTGACAGTCGGGGCTTTCGGTGCTTGATTGCTAAGACCTATGCAAATCCTAGCAGCCGTCCGTTCGGGGTTGTGTAAACAATCCGAAACGAAGTCCCACGATCAGCTTGGTGGCCAGTCTGTAACAGGTGGCGAGCAAATGATGAAGCAGGTGCTCTGTGAGACTGGCTTGATGGCCTGGTTGTTTGTGTGGCGTTCAATCTCATTCGCACGCGTTCAACCCAGACCGGTATGTGTTCAGCCACTCGGGTACGCAGCTGCCTCTCTGTTCTGCCCACGTACGTAGCTCCACACCCACATTGAAATTCATAGATTACATGGGATTTGGCGGTGATTTCACCACGGGTTTCGAAATCTGAGTTGTTGAGAAGCGAACGATCGGATTTGCAGCAAAATACGTGCGAGCTACAGTCGCCTCCAGCCGTCTTCTTAGGAGTGGTCCTAAATCATCACCTTTGAAAGGGATTTGAATGGTGACGTCGCATTTTGGTACTATCATCTCCGAGGGTCTGGGCTCGGCTTTTTCGCTGTACAATTGTATGAACTTCACTGGGTAGCCATTGAGTTTCAGAGCTTCTGTGAGCCGAATTAACTCACTTTCCACATTATCTGAAGTGCATAGCCTCCTAGTTCGGTCAGTGTACGCACGAGGCCTCTTCTGTACTGAATTGGAGCGAAACTTCCAAAGCGCATATACTAACCGGTCCATGTGGATTTTCGATGCGCAGACCTCGAAATAGTCTCGTCCGGTCTTCGATTAATAACAATATCCAGAAATGGGAGTGTGTTGTTTTTCTCGGTTTCCATAGGGAATTGTGTCCTTGTGAAGTAAATTCAGTTCAGCACCGAAAGCCCCTACTGTGTCAGCAGAAGGAGATCTACATCAGTCTGACGTAAGCGGAAGAATGAACTGATACCATGTTAGATTGTCATGGTCTGTGATATATAAGCTACTTTTTCTGCAGTAAACACTAGTTGAGATGCAACGAAATGATTCCGGAATTAAATCGTGCTCGCTTGCAATGTTGTGTTCTTTGTTCAAGTTCATTTCGGGAAATAATAGATATCTTAATTGATGAAAACTTTCGCATCGTGTTGTTCTTTGCTTTTGTTATCTAGCGTTTTTCACTGCTACCTCTTAAGGTTTATCGTTCAATGTATCCTGATGTTGTATATTCCCGTTTCTATAACACAGTTGTAGCTTACTCATCATCCGGGATACACCAATGCCTAGGCCATGGGAAATTCTCTTGCACCCAGGCTGGAGAACGCAGAAAAAACCGGAATCTTACAACTAAGTGGGTTGAAGATTTCAAAGGTAACTTATGCTATTGTACGATATGACTCTCTATCTCATTTCTATTCAAGATTCCGGATACTGTTAAACATTTAAATAATATTCGAAGCCTAGACTTATCATCCAATAAGTTGGAAATATTGAAACCATGGATCGGACGCTTCAAGTTGTTGAAGATACTGAATGTTGAGCATAATAAATTGCGTAAGTTTGGAATTGGGGCCTAGTTTGACTAATGGTATTAGTGTTGTTGTTAATCGTTGATATCTGTCACTTCAATCGTATCCCTTTTTTCTTTCTTCAGTAGCTTTATTTGTCCGAACGGACGGCTCTATTTCCTCAGTTTTACTTTCTTTTAACTTTAAATTTGGGTGGAGACTCTAATACCACTTGTTGCAAGGGCGCTCGCTGTTACACTTTATCCACGAGGCTAGGCTGCGTGAATTCGGTTGCCCGCTTCACGTGGAATGTATCCGGGCATACATAACCGTCGCAATTTTGACTTTCATGTGGTTGGTTTTGACACGTGAACTTTTCGGTGGTTTTTCAACTCTTCTATGCTATTATCCGACTGTGTACCGATAGAGGTGAATGGATTCTGTAAATAGGAGCGTTATATGCATGTTGGCGAGGTTGGTGAATAAGTACGATTCAGTTACAGCGTCTGCATATTCCCACCGCGTATTCCGTCCTTGACCAGCAGACTTGGTTAACTAGGTCTTTTTTGATTTCCTGATTAGGGACCTCAGGACCTACTCAATCAGTGATCAATCTCTAATCAATATTGGCTCAGTACCGTAAACAATAGCGCCCGTACACCTACTCAGTTCGTCCGAAGAACTATTTTACCTGCATTCTATAGATCCAAAAAGTTTGAAATTGAAAATTAGAAATTACCCTTGTCACCTCATCTTTGAAATCTATTTTGGAAAATTTGTTAATCCATAGGATAGTGCTCAAGATTATGTTTCACTTGAAGACCCCATGACTGGAAATATATTTTCTGCACGTAAACAGAAGTAAATGTGTTCATCTATGGTCTCACTCTGAACTCAAAGGTTTGAGTATTGGTCATGGCTTACATCTCAAATATGGTAAACTTCACATGTAAAAGGTTGGATAATGTAAGAAACACACAATAAGAAGGGCCGCATTAATAATCTATTCGCTATTCTTCTGGTACTTATTGTGTGTGACGCGTTCTTAAATAAGTATTGTATTGTATTATTGTATTATAGAAGACTTGTGCAAGCAACTATGCCTACATTTCAGCCAAAAATGTGTTCACCGTTACAATGGGATAAAAAAATGGATTCGAAATTCGTGTACAACAGTGATAAAACTAAATGGTGTTCATCTTTGTAGATTTAAGATTAGTTCGTTACTGATCCTCGCCGTGTCACTGAGAATACGAGCCCGACAGGGAACCGTTCAGTTGCGATAAATGTTTATGCGTGAGGGTAAGCAGCGAAAATTGGACCGGGTTGTAGTGTGGGAACGGCAAGCAGATAAATCGGGATTGAGCAGATGACTGGGGTCATTGAATATCTTATGAGCAAAATTCTCACATGGAGTGATATGCAAATTACACAATTTTGTGATCAGAGTGTTTAAGGAATAAGAGAAACACGGCCGATAATTACCAGACCTCGACGTAGGGTAATTAAATAAAAGGCATTTAAATATCCCCCCGCTATGCATTTTGAACGTTTACAGGCGATTTTATTCTTCAGCAACGAAGTATCTTGTGAATTTCCCATAGATCTGTTTTAAGAACGGGTGGACTGTGGATTCCAGTCAGGTTTCGTTCCTGCAGCAGCAGATATTTTCGAGTTTTAGACAGTCTGTTCAGGTACTTATTTTACTGCGACTGGCTTCTTGGAAAGGATAAGCCGGCTCCAGATATGATCATGATCATAAAGTTCCTTGGGAGGTTGGTACGAGAGATGTCCCCAGCGTCACTCGGCGTTTTCTATTTTGAGGGTGCGCCTCTAGCCTTCGCACAAACAAGTGCAACCTGCAAGGTGAGGAGGTCAATGACTTTAGTTTTAAAAGGCCAGTTATATCGACCTTTGTCACAACAGTCATTGGGCTTATGCGGCTGTCCAAGTCGTATCCACCTGCTGCTTGAAGTCATCTGTGGCTTGTCTGTTGATCGCTTTGCTGCCTGTGTATGTGTGTTCAGTGCATTCCATATTGTCCCTCACTCCACAGTATGTACAATCTCTGTCGATCTACCGTATGCATACCCCTATTTAACAGCGATTACTTAAGTATTCTGGTTTGTGGACTGATACTGATTCCTACTGTTGTGAGGTACTGCTCGCATTTGTGAATAGTATACAAAATAATGCGGTTGGTAGTTTTTTTTCAGCGATCCAAACTGACCAAGACCACTTAGAGTGAATTGCTGTACTCAAAATAATAACTACGAACTGTTCCATTCATTATCCTGTGTGTTGCCGGGAGTTGTGATGACGTTCAAAATAAGATCTCTTGTTATACTCACGCCAAATTATCGATATCCTAACTGTGGTCTGCAATAAACAACTATCCTTATGAAATTATTACACTATTACTGAAATTGGGTTATAACAGCTAAATTGATGCTTAATGTGCGAACTCATACAAAGTCCCCCAGTGTGAAAGAATTTCCGAAGGAAAAAAGTGGAAGATTGATCTGTTTATGGCACCCAAAAATTGAAGATATTTATCCATGATGGTTCTAAGGTAAACGCCAGACTAATTCGTGCGTCGTTTATCAAGAATCGACCATCAAAACCTTTTCCGTCTCAATACAAAACGAATCACCCCAAAAATAACATTCGTGAACTGCACTTAAGAGGTTTTAAGAGTTTCGGTTCCCCCAGATATGTAGCAGTCTATTGTTCAGCTGCAGGATCCACTGCCTTTGAAATGGCACTGTCGTACTTTAGGAAGGGGATTGGTGGATTGTCTCCTGCATTCGCGTATGCGGTTATCGATTGAATAATCGATTCTGGTTGCTACCACGCACCCCTCATGCCGCACAGTCTGTTACAGCATTGATCCCCTTCAACCAATCGGAATTCCGTGTTGGGCTGTCCGCGCTAATTAGTTCCTTATCCATTTGATCCCGCGGTAGCATGTACAACTTGCTGCTTTTCAGTTAGCCCATGTAAATCCTTGTTTCCGCGTCTGTACCCATATACCTATTAAAGAGGTTACTCATATTGATACAAGAAGTTACCTGCATATTGTGTTCTTATTATTCCGTGCACAAGCACCTGTATCAAGACCACCGTTCCAATGGAATTGGATCGCCCAGCATCCACTCTCTCATGAACAGTAAGAATCGTGGATGGATTTTTTTCGCTGCTAGAACCCTGTTCTTTTAGTGCTATTTCACTTAATATTTTCGTTTGATTTTTTAGAAAGTCGCAGTTGATCAATGGGAAGTGAGGGTTCGCTAATAGGTTAAGGCAAATTGCCATCCGGAAATAACCGTCGCACAGCCGCATCTGGAATATGCTCGTTAGAAGTGGTAATCTTTACGTGTTTGTTCGCGCATTCTATTTCGCCCTTTTACAAACCAGTAGGTTTTACAGTGCATGCAATTTTCTGCGAATCGTATGTTCACAACTCGTATAAAATCCGGGCTACCACGGTCGTCAAGGTGTGGCTGCAGATGGCCTGTTCAGTTAGCAGACCGAACCAAGGGTGTGGCGCATCACCATCGTAACAACCGGGTTGCTAATCCCAAAGAGAAACATAACAGTTCCAATAAGTATTTTCGTTTGATGAAACCCAAGCCACCACCATCACCACCACGGAAACTAGATAGAAATGGACTCCAGTTTCAGATAGTAGGAGATTTTAAGAAAGCTTGACTCTAGTTTCTTATCCTTAGTGTGCATCGACAAAGTAGGCTTGTCGCGAAACGGAATAGTTTGTTTAATTTCTACCAGACAATTTTCATTGCGATGCTGTTTTATTTCCATTGGGTTAGAAACCAAAAAATGCGTCCGTCATCTTATGTATCGTTGCCTTTTCACAAACAGACAAGACGACGGCGTTATGAAACACGGCAAAGAGAATGTACCTCAAACCAGATGAAAATTCTGTTGTTTCGCGCACTGTAGATACACCAGTTACATATTCTCTGTGAACTAACAAAAACAGGGAGGGGACGGGTTAAGAACCCAACGGGCATCGCGCACATTCAATAGAATACGACTGTGTGATTCCTAACCACTACGAGCTGATTTTTGTCGTGTGGTGTATTTCTCTCTGGCATGTTTTATGTGGAACCATATTTAAACTCGATTGGAGCATATTAAGACCGACCATTGAGCGCTTCTGATCGAACGTCGACGCACTCGCTGATCGTTACATAACGGGATCCAGTCTCGTTGAATCCTTTCGAGTATTCAACAGTTACTTTTGTATCCATTCGCTCAAACTTTTCACAAATTATTGTCCACTGCGATTTCGGGTATCAAGTTTGGATTAGCTCATTCGGCTTTTACAGGATCCAGGCACTATTAATGGTCTTGGTTATTGGTTTGACTCCTTGGGAGATCGGTAAATCCCCACTAGGTGAATGCGATGGAAAGATTTGGGATGACCGATAAAGAGCACCGGACATTTGCCTCGTCAGCAATGCCTGGTGCCTCTGAACAGTCAAATGGGCTAATCCAAACTTGATACTATGAATTGATTGAGCCATTCGCTCAGGAGTTTGAAGTTCCAACCTGAATGTTCGTGGTTCGAGTCCTGACAGGGACACAAAAGTACGCGCTGCTGACGAGTCTCAAACTGCACAAAACAGTTGTCCAGTGCTCTTTGTCGGTTATCACAAATATTTCTGTCGCGTTATATTGTTTAGTGCAACTACGAGCAAACTGATGGGAACATCAGAAATGAAGGTTTTTATAGGTGTTTAGGTGAGCAAGAAATTTCACTGGGCTACAAAATGTGCTCGGTCAAAAGCGGAGCCTGAAAAGGATAAATAAGATGCAATGTGCTGTCTTTTCTCAACTCACAGGTCTAATCGAAACTGAAGCAACGGGTTCCCGTGTAACACTTGTGGATTCGTGTAGGCAAATGCCCGAAAAACTGATTCAGTGTGGCTTTTCGCCACTTGAATCTGTTACCGAATGCGCTTGCCGAGGCTTAGAACTATCAAATGTACTACATTAGCGTCCGCTACTTCTAGGTTGATTCAATCGTTTGTAATTCTGTGAATACCTTTCCTGAAGTGATATTCATCTGGGTACTTAAAATCCCATTTGGTCTTAAAATAATTGAAAGCTACTGCAATGCACCTGCCTTAAGTGAAACAAATCCGATTATCTGTCGTTTTCTTGGCCTTTCTCTTTCTCCACTTTACCCTGGAACAGATTATTTCCCAGCTGAACTATGCTTGCTGACCAAATTAGAAACTCTCAATGCGAGTAACAACTTGTTGACCAGTCTGATCATGCCTGGTCATGTGACCAATTTCGCTGAGATGCAGAATCTTCGGTTTATTCATCTATCCTCGAACTGTCTCACGGAGTTTCCTGTCGAGTTGTGCTCCGCGTCCATTCCCATTCACTTGCTCGACCTATCCAACAATCAGATCGGACTTATCCCCAGCTGTGTGTCATCGATACAGGTTTGTTAAAGGTCGCACTATCAATGATGGTATTAAGGTACGATACTCTCACCCTCATCCGTGTGGAGGATTTCGCGACTATAGCACGTTTGTTCATCTCCTTGTGCATGTCTATAACTTTTTACTGACCCCTTATTAGTCCACTGTATAATTCTACCTCTTTATTTACTTCAATATGCTGGCCTATTTCACCGGTAGACAGTCAGGAACAATGTTTCCACCATTTTTGCGAAGCCCTTTGATAAAAACACCATACTTGCGTACTTACACTACCAGCTTTCAATGTGGAATACAAATATGTACTGACCATCTTACTAGTCATACTCCCGAGGCTGTAGCGCCAAACGTGCCTGTGTCACAGTTCAGGTCTCTGTCTGGCTTATGCGGCCGTGTTGATTTTTCGAATACCATCACCGGTTGCTTGTCCTTTGGTTGGAGGTGATATATCCCGGTTGCCCGGTTGACGTACCACACTTTGGTGCACAATAAAAATGTAGACTGCTTTATTGTATATACAGTACTTCTTAACAGTTGAAAACTTGATCGAACCAAGTGCAGTCATTGCCCCACTGCAGTAAGCATATGACACCGAATTTGTCTCGAAAGTGCATGCCCCCGTTACTATTGTAGTCTTGCATTGGTCTATCCCTCTGGGTTTGAATGCATGCCAAAGCTGCGCAGCTGGTGATGATCGAAATGTGCACAAAATGTTTATATATATATATATATCCTACGCAGTTAGCTAAACGATTAGAAGTTGCCTACTGTTTTGTCGGTGGCTATCATCCATTTGTTAAAGGATTGGTTAGGGGCTGAAAACCATCTCGGTCACCTCGGAAAAAAATCTGTGTTTTGATAATACACCAACTGACTCAGAATGGTAATGCGCGTGATTCAATGTTCAAAACGCCGAAGTATCATGAAACAACTGAAATTTTGTCCACGGCTTTTGCTGAGCGAGAATTGGAGAACGAATGTGTTCTCATCGCATCGGTCCCAAGCAGATAATAAATCAAAATCCTTTACTGTATAGCTTTCAAAATCATCCACATCCGCGCTGCCCAGTGAACACATGAAAATCGACGAGGTAGAAGTTCCGATTTTCGTCGTCTCAGATTACTCCTGCTCGAACCGTCACAACCATCGGATTATCCTTCTATAACGTGATGGCGAAACAATGCATAAGGTGCTTATAATAACCTATAACGTTATCCGGGAACGCCCCGAATCTTGTTAAATGAGACAGAGAAATATTCCGACTTATAACAAAAAGAATCTGTATGACTGGGCAAAATTTCCTTATAGGCACACGACCGGTTTTGCCGCTCGTCCGGTACGCGTATGTGATAATCTCTAGTCAGATCAGTGTTTTCTCCACAAATACCTCATAATAATCGTTTATAAATTTACTAATTAGTACATTTAGTGCTACAAATTAGGCTTTTATGAATTAAACACATCGTGGGTATAAGTGTATGAATAATCTGACGGAGCTTTATGGGATACACATACTTGAAAAGCTACAACAACTGCGAAACTGCTCACATGATTCCAGGATCATTTTCTCGAACCATTCAGATGTTGCATATTGAGAAAAGAAACGGTTATAGTTCCCGCTCAATTCTTTTGAGCCGCAGACAAATACAGGGCTCGGTTGATTTGTGTCAAAAAGTGCTCTTTCCAAAAGCTGATTATGGTATCACGTCGGAACCGCAGACGACTGATGAACAGCAGTCTGTCTGCTAACTTCACGCTTCTCCTAGCGCAGCCGCAGCATTGTCTACCGAAATAGTACTATGAGCATTTTAAAAATCATTTGTCGCATATGCGCTGTGCAGGTGATGCGCAAACAAACTTGACGCTCTATGCGAACATATTACCTTCCAATGAGTCACTTGCTTCTTTTCGTTTAATATTTATAAGACCGCGTTGGTGGTAGATGAATACGCTTTGGTGTTGCAGTTCACCCGTACGATGAGAAACCTTATGCACCTTATGGTTCAACTCCTAAGGTCTAATTCTCCGCTACCTAACTGAATAGTGCGTTATCCCTACAATAAAGCTAACACGTACTGTGCGTCTAGATTAGTCGTGACGACCCAGTGCACCGTATCAAGTCCACCAAACTGGTCATTCAGTGAATCATCTTAGTTTATGACTGAGCCAATCGGATAACCTTGCCGTGTATCCTAATATTTTAAAACGGGGTTATTGGTTGTGATCAGTTTGTCGTGAAATGATCTTTATGGTGGGAACTAGTTGCTGTATGACCGGAATGCATTTCGTATCCACCCTGGTTCCAAGATAAGGGGCACTTACCGCCTACCATACACGACGATTTAATGCCGAGAGCTAACGTACTATAACTTGATCGATGATGTTATTGCTGTACTATTCTTGATCTCGAAATGTTTTGCTGTGTGCGTACCACATGGATTCACCCTATTTGTTTGTCTTGTAATTGTGACATTTTTCTGTTCGAATAGTAGTAATCTTTGGATATGTGGGTCTTCCGGACTTGTTCATCTTCACATCTTTTGACCCTTTAGGCCATGGAATTAAATATGGATCACAATCAGTTGACCACCATTGCCCCGAGTATCGCCAAATGCCCTCGGCTAAAGGTTCTCCGTCTTGAACACAATCGACTCACAGTACAAGCATTTCCCACAGAACTGTTGACGAATTCCCAAGTCTCTTCCATGTCTGTGTCCGGGAACCTATTTGAAATGCGTGATTTCTACAGTTTACCCGGTTATTCTCAAGTAAGTTCGGATTCTCTTTAATTCTCGGCGGATCTGTTCTCTCATCGAAGTGGATTGAGGTCGCAGTGTGATTGACATGTATCAGTGTCCAAATGGCCTTCAAGTAGGAATAGCCAATCTGCTATGAACAAAATTCTTTTTTATAGTGTGATCCTAGTACGTTAGGGACTATGAATAGCTAATACGAGTGAAAGATTTGCATAACTTTTTCATGATCAAACATCAATGTTCGTTATATTTTGAAGACACTGTTGGTCAGAGGAGTACCATATTTGAATCCTTGATCTCAACCGACCATGTTTTGCAGTTCCAAATGAGCACGGGATGAATTACTGGTCAGAAAGTAGGCATCTCGGTCCACAACCTGATCTCACTGCGTATCATAGCGCATTTCGCAGTTGAAGAAATGATTTTTTTGTGCTTTCTTGGTTTCGCCTGACCATTTTGTTTATATACATCTGTCTACTTAATACCAGGCTGATTCGTGAGGAGGAGCTGAAATACCAAGAGTCGCTAGCACAGAGATCCATCTCTAACCCTAAGCTGTTGTATGAACACGTTAAATCAATTCGGAAAGTAAAGTTTGGTATACCGGCACTGAGCTGCACTGGAAGAGTTGCAGCTACTCCATCGGAAGCAGCTGAACTGCTGAAAACTCAGTATTCCAACGTTTTCACTGCACCACAGGTGGGAGGTGTACAGTTACCTCCCCCGTTGCATCGTCTTCTATATCCTTGGATAACCAACTATCATTTACTGCTGAAAATGTCAACGCAAAACTAATGACAGCAAAAAGTGTAACCCCAGGCACGGACAATATACACCCGAAATCCCTGATTTTTTGGCGAATCCCATCCGAACCGCTAACCGTTCTGTTCCACCAAATTTTCAACCACGCAACACTCCCACAATCGTGCAAACAAGGTTGAGCTGGGAGACGATCTAATAGTTCAACTTCGAAGGCTGATTTGCAGCCATTGCTGACACTGGATTGTGGGCATCGGCTTTCGGTGGGTTTTCGGGTTGGGTAGTGTAGATAAATGGAGAAAGCTGCGGCTATCAGCAATAGTCACAATCTTTTTCGCTTAAATATGAGTACTGGTACAAGGAAAGTAAGCGTGAGGTAAGTACAGTGCCTGGCGGCACACTGATTCGTATTCATCAAAGCCGTCTTGGACGATGAACAGAACATTTGAAGGCATGTTCAACTGGCCCCTGTCGACAAAAGACCTCCCACTACCTGTTTCAGCTGGGCGAATACTGCCAGTTGACATCAGTCCCCCATCTGAAATGGAGGTTACAAGGGAAGTAAATTGTCTCAAAAGGTAAAAGGCTTCCGACCCGGAAGGGGTGTCCTCATCGTTTTTTAATAATGAAGGTTAAGAGCAATCAAAATTGGTATGAGGGTTTCAAGGCCCTAATCGGATCACTGGCTCTGGATCATAGGCTCCCTGCATGGGGACCCCGAGATCATGGTAACCGGTGGTTAGAGATTCCGAGTGATATGGCCAAGTGTCGGAAATAATGGTGTTCGTGCATCTACCAATATTTGTGCAACCCCAGTCTATGTGTATTCTCCTTGTTCTGCTCTTTGATCCAAATGAGCAGCCAAAACCGGCGCACGAAAGCGCATGGCTAATGGTTGTAAAAACTGAAATTGAAACTTGATTGTCTGATTGAAATCTAAATGATCCATCCAGGACGGCAACGCGACCTATGTGAATAAGTTTCCTGGTCGGGTTTTTCATACCTTCATGTCGCCACTCTGATTTTTTCTTCCCATTACGTATTTCGACACAACGCGCCCTCCAACCGGTGCAGTCTGTGGAAGTCGATCACTTGCTCCAGTGGAATACCGCGTTGACCTAAAGCTCTGTATTTAACCACACCATTGCATTTCTGTGTGCCCCACCAGACTCGTGCAGTGCAATGTAGGCAACGGTGGTCAATCCTTCACAGACAAGCGAATGTCGCGACGGCGCCGCAGATGTCTCAATTTACCAAATACCAGTCGAGCCTCCTGACGGCACTTCATCCGTGATGCGACGTGGTCGCCCAGATAGCAGAATTTGTTCACTTCCTCAGGTCGATATTTGTTGTTAGTACGGCTAATTACACCGACTGAACTCATTTACTAAGACCGGTATGTTGTCTTCATTAGATATTGTCCGTGAGTTGATCACAGTCAACAACACACACCGAACACCCGCGGAATTAATTTTTAGATGGAAGTGCTTTTCATCACTGCTATTAGTGGCTTGCATCTCGTGTCAGGAATAAAATTCAGGACAGTAATCCATTGGACACGGAATGCGAATCTCACGGTTAAGCGACCTAACAGCTTCAATATATTATAAGGATTGCTAAAACCGTCATCTAAAGAGAAAACTACAGAGTGAACAACAGCATCGGCATTGGAAAGACCAAACTTATGAGAAAACTGTTGAGGGTTATAAGCGTAAAACCCGGGGGTAGGGGGCATCCTGTGCGGTAGAAATCTTCTGGATGCTTTCAGCAGTTACCGTATTCTGAGAAGAGCCCTTTCTAAGGGATAACCGGGTATACAGTCCGAAGCCCAGCAATCAAGGGTTTTCCAGGCCCTTACTCCTCAGTGAGAAATTATGAAGTGAAGTGTGTTTTGGTTCTTCCCTTTCAACAACGCATTTTTATCTATTGTTTCGATCACTATGCTCCAGNTTCATTTTTCTTGGCTTCTCTTCTCACAGTACATGGATCGCTATACGGCAGTTCGAAAAAAGGCAACCTAGTTCATCTTCTGATTTTGTGCGTCTATCAATCATTTTGTTCAGCAATTATCCTCCCTATTTTACTTTTACAACTTCCCAAAAACAAACAGAGACACGTACAAATCGACTTCCGGGGACAACCGCAACCGCTTTGTGTGTATCTTTCTCCGATATTTTCGTTGTCCCAGATTCACCACCAGACTGTCAATGACCACGTAATCCTTCATGCTTCTTCTTTTTTTTCCGGGGCATGTGCTTTCGTTATTGGTATGTTTTATTTTCTCTTTGCCTGTCCGATTGCCGTCGTGTGTAACAAGTTTGGACCTGTTCGACTTTTGCTTATATATTTATTTAGGCTGTCCCAATTTGACCAGATCACTTCTCCATTGGCATATTAGTGAATACGGTACAAGCATGAAATAATTGTGATTTGTAGGAGTGCCTCCTCTCGTTACGGTTTTTATCAGCAATGTAGGCGGTCATATCATTCGTGGATCTCACCCCCCCCCCACACACACACTTCAAAGAAACCTCAGATGCACGACTCAGTTTTAACCCTAGTGTTGCACATGTCTCTTCGGAGACTGACGAAATGCTTATTCGTCCAAACCGCGGTTGTGCATTGACCGTGGTTCACCCGATTTGTTTCGACATTCTTTCAACCTGTTTGGGGATCAAATTTCGTTGCTGTCTGTGGTAGACAAGCACGTTTGCCCCACATGCGTGTCAACTGATTTCGCTCATCGCTGATAGTCATGCGCGGGAAAGGGATTGCATTTCTGCTTAGAGCAACTTGATTGTTTCATTTCACATTCCTTGATTTAGCCGATTTGGTTCAACACCGGAAAATCAATCAATAGGGGTAAAGATAAGGTTTCCGAACTGGCTCACTTCGTAAAAACGAGGAAACAATGTGGTACATAGACCCGATGGAAGTGATAAAAACGTCACAGATTCAAAAGTCAATATTAGGTAAATGAGAGCACATTTGTGGAATACCGTTTCAAATCTGTTCTTTTATAGTTTGAAACGAAAGAATTGGGCAATTTTTGAAGATTCAGTATCCGACAACTTTCGAACAATGAATCACCTGATATTCCCTATAAAAGGTCAATAAACTTTGCTCATTACAAGCAGAAAACCCAAAGTTCAGTGGTAGTATTCGTTTCTTTACTCCAAACAGCGTCCATATTTATCCTAT